CACTTTTCTTGAAACCCCCAGCCAGCAAAGTCTCCTCTAGCTTGTGGTACCATGCACGAGGAGCCTGCTTCAGGCCATAGATGGTCTTCTTCAGCCTGCACACCCTGCCGCTCCCATCATCCAAACCCTCAGGCTGTAACATGTACAGCTCCTCCAGAATGATCCCATTGAGGAAGGCGGTGGTGATGTCCATCTGCTTCACCCCCCATCCACGGTTTGCTGCCATTGCCAATGACACCCGCAGTGTTGTGACTTTCCCCACAGGAGCATATAGCTCGTTGAAGTCCTTTCCCTTTGTCTGCTGAAACCCCTTAGCCATAAGCCTCGACTTGTAGCAGGTCAGCGTCCCATCTGGTCCGTACTTATGCCTGAAGATCAGCTTGGAAGAAATGGTCTTCTTCCCAGGAGGCAGCTCACACAGCTCCCACGTCTCATTCTCCTGCAGAGAGTCATACTCCTCCTTCACACTCTGCTTCCACTTCTCAGCGTCGAGCCCGCTCAATGCCTCGGCTAACGTCTTGGGCTCAGGGACGGCTGCCCAGTAGCAGTGTGCTATCTCATCCTCATCACACTGCTCAGCCACACTCCCAGCCCGTACCACCTTTGGCTTGCCAAAGCTCGGATAGGTCAGCCGGTTAGGAGGGCGCACATCCCTCCTAGGACGGTCAGCCGGACGCGCGGCACCTTGCTGCTGCGGCTGCTGCTGCTGCTGCTCCTCCACCTCAGGTTCTCCCCCATCCTCAGTCACCCCAGAGATCTCCTCCTCTAAGACAGTGACTTGCACTTGCCTTGAAGGCCGCTGCACCTCATCGGCCTCAATGATCAGCGGTGTAGTGGGAAGCTTCTGTTGCTGCTGCTTCCACTCCTTGTAGTACAAGGACACGAGGAACTTCACATCCCTCGACACAGTCAGCTGCTGGCTGGTCAAGCCCCAAATCAGCCAGCCCTTGTGATCCTTAGCAAGCCCCAAGTGCACAACCCATCTCCCAGAAGCTTCCAGTTTTCCCCTCTTCTCCTTAGGCACATGAAACACCACCATGCAGCCGAAGGCTCTCAGCATGTTGACTGCTGGTGCACTCCCATACCACTTGGCGTAGGGGACCCATTGCTTGTCCCCCACAATCGCCAGCACCTGGTTCTTCACAACAACGACCTGCCGCAGTGCTGTCACCCAAAACGGATCCGGCAGCCCTGCACGCCCAAAGAGAGTGCGAGCACCTTCCTGCAGGGTCCGGTTGAACCGCTCAGCCACGCCATTCTGCTGAGGGTTGTAAGGCACCGTGAGCTGATGCTGGATCCCCTTCCGCTTCAGCTCCTTCTCAAAATCAGCACCGATGAACTCTCCTCCGTTGTCAGTGCGGATCACCTTCACCTTGTGTCCGCTTTCCCTTTGTGCTCTCGGCATCCACTCCTTAAGAACAGCCGCTGCCACCTCCCCCTTAGTCTTGAGAGGGTACACACACACCGCACGCGTGTGGTCGTCCACAATCGTCAAGAAGTAGCGGCTGCCCGAGAGAGAAAGGGCCCTCGTGGGGCCCACCACATCCATGTGCACTAGTGCAAGTGGTGCCTCGGCTGGTCCTGTGCTGCTGCTGAAGGGAAACTTCGTGAATTTGGTCTCAAGGCAGGTAGGGAAGCTCCCAATCTCCTTTGCTCCCCCCTTCACCTCCAGCCCCTTCAAGCACCCATCCTTTGCCAACTTCTGCAGCATAGGAATGTTCACATGGCACAACCTCTCATGCCACGTCTCCCAATCAGCCTCACCACTCCCAGATGAAGCCTTTGCCCATGCAGCTGTCGCATCCACACCAGCAAGCACCTCACCATGTGGCTGCTGTGGCTGCAGCACCTTCTTGACTGCATCCCAGGCCCAAGCAGTTGGTGCAGTCTCCTCTCCTCCCGCAGTTGCTTTAGCCGCTGCCGCTGCCTTTGCCGTTGCTGGTGGTTTCCCCTTCCAAGGGATGATGGGCAGCTGCCACATGTCCTTGATGCAGCTGCTCTTCTCCTCCAAGTTCCACAGCAGCAACTTCCCAATCTTTGCACGGCAGCTTGTTGGGCCGAAGGTAACTTCAGCCTTGCTCTTCTGCAGCCGGCGCACAGAAAGAAGGTTAGCAGACAAACCTTCAACCAACAGCACATTCCCAAGCCCCACAAGCTCTCGACTGGCTCCCATCACCTTAGCATTCCCAACACCAATCACAGAGAGCAAAGCACCTGAAGCGGCAGCCACAAACTTGATCTTCCCAGGAGGTTTTACCTCATCAAGCAAATCTGCCCGTGGGGTCATATGACTCGTGCAACCTGAATCGATCACCCATTGAGTGAGGGGGTGCATCACAACCTTCCCAACTGAACCCACATCACCCCCACTCCCTTGCACATCCTCAACCATGAGGAACATCCCTAGGTCGGCTTTACCTTGTGCACCGTCACCTTGTGCACCTGATCCTTGCACAGCGCCACCGCGTGCACGTTCACCACTTGGCGGCTTCATGCCTGGAGGGGCCCATCCCTCAGGCCGACTGAAACACTTGAACCACGGGTGTCCAGCCTTCTTGCAGTACCAGCACGCACCCTCTATTCGGGTGCTCCCCCTGCCACCAGAGCTCCCATGCCCCTCATTGTAGTCACCTCGGCCTCTCCCTCTGCCAAAGCCTCTCCCACGGCCTCGGCCTCTCCCACCCCCTCTTCCTCTGCTGCCTCCTACAGCTCCATACCCCTCAGCAGTTTTGTTGGTCGCACCACCTCCCGTGTGGCGCCTGCAGAAGTCCTCTTGCAGAATCTGCTGCCGTGGCCACTCAGACGTCCATTTGTCCTGCTGAATGTTGAGGGTGGGGATGAGGTTGTCCCACGAGTTGTCGAGCACCGAGATGATCTTGGTGCACTGTTGCATCTGCGACACTTCGCTGCCCGCCGCTGCCATCCTTGCATAGGTGTCCTTGATCTTGTCAAGGACCGGTTTCACATCATCTCCCGGTTTGATGGAGAGGCCAGCCAACTCCTTCTCCAACACAATCACCATCGGCGGCGTGTTGGGCTGAATCACGTCGCGTAGCAGCTTCCATGCCTTCGGTCCGGAATCATCCAACTCCACCAAATCGTTAATGTGCTGGAACATGTCGTTGTTGACCGATTGGAGGATGAGGTCGTACAGCACCGCGCTCTTCTCAATCCACCGATCGCGGGCATCTCCTTCCCCCGGCATCTTCTCCTCTCCCATTGCAATTTTCAGTAGTTTGTAGCGCTTGAAGGCGCTCCGCATCCGCCCGCTCCATTCCTCATAGTTGGAGCCATCCAAAGCTTCGATCTTAGATGGTGGCGGTTCACTCTTCTCAGCTACATCTCCACTCCCTTGATTCATCTCCTCTGCTCCCAATCAGAGGTTTCAGCTCCCCCTTTTGCTAGTCACAATGTAGATCCACACAATCTTCACAAGTGTCGGCGCCAACGAAATTTCGGCAGAGTTTCCTCTTAGCGGAAGTCATATCCAACCTCCAGAACTCCACTTAGGCACGCTCACAGGCCATGGTGGGTCTAGGAAGGTCTTCACACTTCAGAAGACTCTCCACAAAGTCCTTAATCAGCTCTAATACCACTTGTTAGAGACTAAGGACGGAGTCTATGAAGATTAGGAGCCAAAATATCTCAACATCGTTGGGCCTAGTTTCTGAACAGAAAAGTCGAGTTCACAAGAAACGCCGTCGACGAAACGTGCACAGTCAAAACTTCACTAAACTCATTTATGTTGTAGCCCTACTCCGTGGCTACAATTCTCAAGTTGAAACGTATCAAGAGGTGAAGTAAATCTCGACTTATCAATTTCGGCGCACAGGGGGGTATGCTGCCATAAGAACTTAACTCAATCACAAAGTTCACACACAAGTTCACAATTACTACACAAGAGAGTTAGAGTAGCAATAAACCAGGTGGGAGGGGATGAGGAGGACAAGAGAGAAAGTCCCAAGAGAGTCCCCAACCAAGGAAATCCCATGCCACACAATTCTCTTCCCCATAGGCAACCCAACTTTGACCTTTGTCATTATCCCAACCTGCACAATCCACCTCAACCCAACTTGGCCACACTTGCCAACCTGGTTTGGTTTTTCCCAACATTTGGCAGCAACTACAGTAGAAAATACGAATTTCCCAACCCCCAAAAGTCTGTACTCAATATTGAGTCAACCCCACAACTTCCCATAGTCACCACAACCAAATATCAAAAGCATACGAACTCCAACGTTTGTAACTTTCTTGTTCGTGCTCCGATTGAAGCGATACTTGGTTCCTCGGAAAGCTCTTGAGCAGTGGAGTCACTACAGATATCTGCTCAAGCCAAATAACATTCACACACACTCAGAAAAACCAAACCACATCAAACACAAATTCTTGCACACGCTCACACCACGCATGCAACGCACGAACATGTGACGGGAGGCAGACAGACGTGAATGCAAATGATAGCATCATATAACATCCTTGTGTGCTGCTTTGGCGGCACATTCAGCTACCTTTGCTGCTGCCAAATGAGTAACAACAGCAACCTCCAGTTCCCTTGGTCAGCTGTCGCACGCGCCCACGCCTCCGGCATATATTTTTGGTGGGTCTAGGGCCCATCCGTGTGGTCGCACCTCAATTCCTTCCGCAACCCACCGCCCTTGCCCACAACCCCCACTTTCCCTCCCCCCTCACTTCCATTCTGCACGGCAGGCCACATAGCGCATGTCAACCTGCGTGACGACCTGCTGCCCTACCGCTTCGTTATTGGGAAAGTGCTGCTGGAGGTGAGTGGTGCTGGAGGTGAGTGGTGCTGGAGGTGAGTCCATGGGGTACTTTCCCACTTCGCGAGTCCCACATTGTTTTCTCATGCAGTGAGGCCGGGGCCTAAAACACACGGATGGATAGGCATGTGCCTGGCTCATGAGCTCTTGGACTACACGTGCCATGCCTCTCCCTCCATGCCCATGCCTCACCCCCTTTTGCCCCTTGCATCCCAACCCCGCATGCTGCCCCACTCCTGGCAGAAGAACACCCCATTAATTCGAACGGTGGTGAACAAGAGCGGAATAATCGAAAACGAGTTTCGAGTGCCCACGCTCGAGCTCATCGCAGGCGAGGGCTCCTCCTCGCACCTCGAGACCTCCGTGAGGCAGCACGGCGCCACCTTCCACCTGGACTACGCGCGCGTGTACTGGAACTCGCGCCTGGAGCACGAGCACAAGCGCCTCGTGGACACGTTCTTCAAGAGAGGCGACGTGGTGGTTGACATGTTTGCTGGGGTCGGGCCGTTTGCCGTGCCGGCTGCCAAGGCGGGGTGTGCTGTGCTTGCGAATGACTTGAATCCGGCGAGTGTGGAGTATTTGAGGAGGAATGTAAGGGTGAATGGGGTGGAGGGGCGGGTGAAGGCTTATAACGAGGATGCGCGGGTGTTTGTGCGAGGGGTTCTGAAGCTGCCGGAACAGGAGGGAGTTGAAATGGTGGCGAGAGGGGTGGAAGGCTTTTTGGATGACGGGAAGGCAGGGGAGAAGGTAGGTGATGGGGAGGCGGGAGGGAAGGGGCAGTTGCAGCAGGAAGAGGGGGAGAATGGGGAGAGAGAGCAGCAAAGAGCAGCAGCAAGGGGGGTAAAGAGAGAAAGAGGCGAGCAGGGGGAAGGGGAGGGTATGGAAGTGGAGGGTGTAGAGGGGGAGCAGAGAGTGGCATTGGGGAGTGCAAGTGCGGGGCCATGGGAGGCAGAGGCTGGGAGGGAAGCGGCTGAAGGGGTGACAGGGAGCGCAGGACAGGTGGCGAGAGAAGTGGGAGAGAAGGATGGTGAGGGAAGGGAGGTTTCTGGAGGCGATGGGGGTTGCGCGACAGCCGGCAGCCGAGATGGAAGCGAGGAGGGAGTGGGGCAAGGGGCGGGCGAGGGAATGCAGGGAGCGAACACGCAGGAGGGGAAAGCGGAGGGGGTGGCAGGAGGGAAGCAGGAGGAGCAGAAAGGGGGAAGGACAGGGAGAAAAGGCAAAGGGAAGAAGAAGGGAGGGAAGGGCGAGAGCAAGGACGGGGAGGGCATTGATGTGGCATCAGTGGCGCCGTGGAGGCATGTGGACCACGTGGTCATGAACCTGCCTGCTTCTGCCATCACCTTCCTGGGTACGTCCGTGTCTGTCTGGGTCCGTTTGGGTTCCACCATTGCGTTCCCCTCCCATGCCCGCCTGGCAGTGTGTGGTGAGCAATGGTAAGCCATCGCCCTTTGACCACAACATCGCCCTTTGACCACAACATCGCCCTGTGAGCACAACATCGCCCTGTGACCACAACATCGCCCTTTGACCACAACATCGCCCTTTGACCACAACATCGCCCTGTGACCACAACATCGCCCTGTGACCACAACATCACCCTTTGACCACAACATCGCCCTTTGACCACAACATCGCCCTGTGACCACAACATCGCCCTTTGACCACAACATCGCCCTGTGACCACAACATCGCCCTTTGACCACAACATCGCCCTTTGACCACAACATCGCCCTGTGACCACAACATCGCCCTGTGACCACAACATCGCCCTTTGACCACAGCATCGCCCTGTGACCACAACATCGCCCTTTGACCACAACATCGCCCTTTGACCACAACATCGCCCTTTGACCACAACATCGCTCTTTGACCACAACATCGCCCTTTGACCACAACATCGCCCTGTGACCACAACATCGCCCTTTGACCACAACATCGCCCTGTGACCACAACATCGCCCCGTGACCACAACATCGCCCTTTCACCACAACATTGCCCTTTCACCACAACATCGCCCTTTGACCACAACATCGCCCTTTGACCACATCATCGCCCTGTGACCACAACATCGCCCTTTGACCACAACATCGCCCTGTGACCACAACATCGCCCTGTGACCACAACATCGCCCTTTGACCACAACATCGCCCTTTGACACAACATCGCCCTTTGACCACAACATCGCCCTTTGACCACAACATGCACATCTCATTCCACCACGCTCTCTTGCCCCTCGCCCCCCCACAGCTACATACCGTTCATCCCACCATTCCTCCCCGAAGGCACCTTATTGAACGCCCCTCTTTCCAAACCGATCCCTTACCCACTCCACTCCCCCACGTGACCCCGCCCCGCTGCCCACCCCCCCATCCCGCCAACCACTCCCTCTTCTCAGACTCCTTCCGCGGCGCCTTCTCCCGCGCCCACTGGGAGGGCCCCCTGCCGCTCGTGCACACCTACTGCTTCCACCGCTCCGGCCACACTGCTGAGGCCGTCATGCAGGTGGGGGGGAGGAGGCAGCCCTAGCGTCCCGCTGCATGCCAGTGTAAAAGCAGAGTGCCTGTCCTCCCTGTCTCCCATGCTCCCATGTAGCCTGGGGGTACCGCTGGGTGGGCTGTGCCGTAGGGTGTGAGTCCCTGCCGGCCTCTTGCCTCGCTCTGCCCCATCCATCCTTGCCATGCTTTGAGCCTCATCAACTTACCCTCAACTTGTGTTGTGCTTGCTCAATGAGCGTTGGCCTCTTCTGCTGCTTAATAGCGCGCTCGGAGGAACCGGGCCCCCAGAAGCATGCACTGCTTCTGTGTGTTCCCTTACCTCTCTCACAATCGGCTCAAAGAAACTGTTCCCCATGCCTGCACTGCACGGGTCCCCCATCCGTGCCTTATCTCTGCTTGTCTCCACTGCTTGCCTGCGCTGCTTATCCCTCATGCCTGCGCTGCTTATCCCTCATGCCTGCACTGCTTATCCCTCATGCCTGCACTGCTTATCCCTCATGCCTGCACTGCTTATCCCTCATGCCTGCACTGCTATTCCCTCATGCCTGCACTGCTGATCCCTCATGCCTGCACAGCTTATCACTCATGCCTGCACTGCTTGTCACTCATGCCTGCACTGCTTATCCGTCATGGCTGCACTGCTATTCCCTCATGCCTGCACTGCTGATCCCTCATGCCTGCACAGCTTATCACTCATGCCTGCACTGCGTGTCACTCATGCCTGCACTGCTTATCCGTCATGGCTGCACTGCTATTCCCTCATGCCTGCACTGCTGATCCCTCATGCCTGCACAGCTTATCACTCATGCCTGCACTGCTTATCACTCATGCCTGCACTGCTTATCCCTCATGCTTGCACTGCTTATCACTCATGCCTGCACTGCTTGTGTGGGAGAGCAAGAGGTGGAGCGGCACCTGGGCGCTGCAGTGGGCGCGAGGTGTCGTTTAAGTCGACTCAAACGTCACCATGCATGCCTGCACATTGGGTCGAGTCCCCCATGCTTGCAATTGCGATTGGTCTCTGTTGCTTGCTTGCTTGCCTGTGAGCAGGAGGTGGAGCGGCACCTGGGCACTGCAGTGGATGCTGCCACTTTGTCCATCCACCCTGTTAGGAACGTGGCGCCCAATAAGGTGGGGCCACGTGGTGCTGCTTTCAGCACCTTGGTGTGATGGGGGTGTGCTATGGTCTCTTGAAATTCTGTGCCAGAGGGTTTTGCTGTGCAAATGAATGCGGCTCTAGGCATCTGCAATCCCGCGTGGCTGTTCTATTAGTGCTACCATGGCAGCTGAGACGCACTCCACTTGCGTCTCGTCTAGGTGATAACGAAGACGCACCTAATTTGTTTCCTCCTCTCCACTCTCCCCTGCCTTACAGGACATGCTGTGTGTGTCGTTTCGGCTGCCAGAATCAGTTGCATTTGCAGCCTCGTAGAAATTGCATGAAGGAAGGTTTGCCATTATGCCACGTCAAACAGCGAGATTGATGTAGGCAGCACTTGCAACAATTTGTACTGGTTACGATACAAGAACATCAAATAAGAAAATTACCTGATAGAACTTCACACTACCTTACATTTTAAACACAGCGTGTGTTTTTTCCCCCCTAAATTACGTATTTCAAAAGCGCAGCTGTTTGTAACTGTAAGGAATTTTTCAGCATTCCTTAATGCGCACCTCAACATCAGGGCAAAGTTGATCAGCGTAAATCACCCTGATACCTTGATTATCAAGGTGAATTATGGGGGTCACACTGTTGGCCTATGGTTTTTTTTTGGGGGGATTACCGTAGGTTTTTCCTGACCTGACAGGGCTTCTATTTAGTCACACTTTGGCCTTATTGTAATCATTTGTTATAATAGGCTTACCCTGAAGCGAGCATAAGGCATCTTTCCCCACCCCCTCCCTCCCTCCCCCCGCCCCAACCCTCCTCCTCCTCCCCCTCAACCCCCATTACCTGGGTTCCTCGAAACGAATTTGCGTCGGTCTCTTTTGTCTTTACCTGACAGTGTATAGGCGCCCAGCAGCCCACTGGCCACCACGTCTCTAAAAAGGTAGGTCGCATCGCATGGCTGGCTCGTTGTAATCTATTGATATGTGAGTGAAATAGGTGTGAAGAAATGAGGAATGATTGACTAAGGGAAAGGTTGGGTACAAGTACAAACCTAGAAATGTGTTGTACCCCATATATGCTACCCCACTATAGCCTACACAGGCTAAGTCATACAAGTCTGACACACCCCCATAGGCAAATTGGGGGAGAACAAAAGGTCACAAGACCAGTCAAGCAAAGCAAAGCAAGCTCAGGGTGGATCACAATGTCATCACATACTCCGAGCACAAGTTCAAGGCCACAAGGTCAGTTCACATGCAAGATCATATATAAAGGTAAACAAGCAAGTGCAAGTATAAAAAAAGATCACACTACAAGCAAGGTAAAGAAGTAAGCAAGTGAGGCCAAGTAGGCACAAGACCTAGCATCGTACAACAGCGCTGATGATCACAAGGCGCAAGTGCCTTCGTAAAGATATCAGCAGTGTTGGCCTAAGAGGCCACGTAAGCAAGGCGCAGCTGACCACGCTGCTGTAGCTCACGACCAAGAAAGTAGCGAAGAGCAATGTGCTTCGTTCTGTGCTCCAGTCTCTGCTCCCGACACAAGGCCAGCATGGCCTTGTGGTCTACGTACAGAACCGGAGGAGAACGAGGCGACTCTCCTAGGTCAGTCAGCAGGTAGATGAGCCAGCGTAGCTCCTCTGCAGCCATGGCCCCCGCGCAGATCTCAGCCTCACAGCTGGAGCCGAGAACAGAAGACGAGCGGGTAGACCGCCACGAAACAGAGCCGGAACCAAGGCTGAAGGTGTAACCCTGTGACGACCGCTGCGTAGCCTGGTCGTCAGCCCAAGAAGCGTCTGCGTGACCTGTCAGGACCACTGAACGCCGCCCTCCAAGCACTTGCCCCATGCCCGACGTACTGCACAAATAGCGCAACACCCTCTTCGCTGCCGCCATGTGCTCTGGTCGGTGTCTGCGAGGAGCAACATAGCGTGCCAAGATGCTAAGGGGGTATGCAAGGTCAGGTCGAGTGCAGGTCATCAGGTACATGAGGCAGCCAACAAGCTCTTGGTACGGGCCACTCGGCTCTACGGACTCATCCGAAGGCAGAGCTGAGAGCGAGTGGCGAGTAGACAGAGGAGTGGCCTGAGGCGAGGAGTACGTGAAGTCGAAGCGCTGAAGGACCTGCTGCACCATGTGTGACCGAGTCAGGGTAATGGTGTGCTGTGCTCTGTCCCGGGTGATCTGCAAGCCAAGGTAGCTGCGCAATTCACCCAGGTCTGTGCACGTGTGTCTCTTCTGCAGCTCGGACTTCACGTGGGCGAGCCCAGCAGTGTCAGCAGTGGTAAAGACCAAGTCGTCGACGTACACGAGGATGTAGAACGGCGGCAAAGAGGTGTCGGTGCGCAGAAACAGCAACGGGTCGGCAGAAAAAGGAGCAAACCCAAGAGCCGCAAGTGTAGTCCTCAGTGTGTCGTGCCACTCACGTGGCGCATGGCGGAGACCGTAGACTGGCCGCTGGAGGCTCCACTGGGTACCAGGGGGAAACGACCCAGTGAAGCTAGGTGGGCGGCGCAGCCAGATCTCCTCGTGCAGGTTGCCCTGCAAGAAAGCTGTGCTGAAGTCAAGAGAGTGAAGCTCGTAGTCGCGCTGAGTGGCTATGTGCAGCAGCACCCGAAGAGTGGTCATCTTTGGGGTGGGAGAGAAGGTCTGAAAGTAGTCAACTCCCTGCCGCTGACTGAAGCCTCGAGCCACATAACGCGCCTTGAAGACAGGCGGAGAACCCGGCGGCCGCTTCACCCTGAAAATCCACATGCCACTGACGATGTTCGCCCTAGGTGGGGGAACCTCATCGACATAGGTGCCTGTGGACTTCTAGGAAGCCATCTCTGCGTCCATGGCTGACTGCCTCTGTGAGGAGTAGGGACCCTCGATCGCCTCAGCGTACGATCGAGGAGTCGGGATGTCTGGTGCATCCGGGTCTCCCTTAGGGGCAATCAGCATGGACACGAGATGAGGCAAAGCAGCAGCAAAACACTGGAACTCCTCCTGCCTATCCTCAAGGACGTCCGTGCTAAGAGCACAGACACCCCCAATGGCTGGAGGAGAGACAGACTCAGACTCAGCAACAAGACTAGCGGCGTAGTCTAGACGACAGCGAGCAGCAAAGTCGACAAGCTCAGCAACTAAGGCAGACGCATCAATGGACTCAAAGGAAGGGTCAGTGACAACAGTAGCTAGGAGACGCGTGACAGTAGGACTGGCAGCATGAAGAGAGTCAGACTCCGGGTCAGCAAGAGTAGGAAGAGATGACTCTGGAGGAGACGGCAACGGGACACACAGAGGAGCAGTGGAAGGACGCAGTGCCATCTGGTGTGTGCCTGGGACTGCAGGAGGACGCGGACGCGGAACACGACTACTAGTGCGAGCAGCACGAACAGGCGACGCAGGACGAGACGCATGCTCACGACGCTCAGCAAGACCTCTAGTAGGACCAGTGTAGGGAGAGGGAGCAGGCAGTGGGGAGGCGGGCTGTAACTGCGACTTAGACTAGACAGGCGGTGGACACTCTAAGGAAGGAGCAGGACCAGCAGAAGGCGGGAGACGAAGAACCTGCTCAAGGAGCAGAACGAAGTACGGCCTCGGCTGCGCAGCGCCTCCAGAGCCAGCAGGGACACCACCAGTACCCCCAGCGGCATCACCAGCACCAGTGGCACCCCGAGCTGTAGTAGCGCCAACTCTAGCACCCTCATAAGCACCAGCTCCAGCTGCACCTCCAGCGCCAACAACCCCAGCAGCTCCAGCTCCAGCCGGACCAACGGAAGACTTCATAGCCACAGCTCCAACACCTCCAGCAGCACCCGCTCCAGAAGCACCGCCAGCAGCTCCAGCACCAGGAGCACCCCCAAACCTTGCAGCTCCAGTACCTCCAGTACGAGCACCTCCGGGACCCGTGGCACCAACACCCTCAGTAGCAGTAGAACCTCCAGCTCCAGCAGCACCTCCATCTCCAGCAACACGGCTCCAGCGCCGAGCAAACCACTCGCGCAGCTCCAGTGGAGAGGGTAGCTCCCGCCGGGACGAAGCACTCGAGGGACCTCCAGACCTAGTACCGCCAGACTCCACACGAGCAGGCCCTGCACCCCCAGGCTCCGCACCCCCTGGCTCAGCACCCCCAGACGCAGCACCCACAGGCTCAACACACCCAAGCTCCGCAACCCCCAAGCTCAGCACCCCCAAGCTGCGCACCCCCAGGCTCCGCACCCATAGTCTCATCACCCCCAGGCTCAGCACCTCCAAGCTTAACACCCCTAGTAGCACCAGAGTCAACAGCTACCTCTACAGGCTCGACTGCATCTACCTGGGACACACCTAATGGGGCAGGACCCTGAGGGGGAAGGGGGTCTACCGGGGGGGGGGGGGGGACCTGGCGCGAGGAAGAGCGGCGGCGGGGGGAGGGAGGCAGTGCGGTAGGGGAAGAGACGGTAGGACAAAACCGACTCGTCAAACGTGACGTCCTGGGAGGACAGAACACGTCGCGTGGTGGGGTGGTAGAACTGCCATCCTTGCGCGTCAGGGGGGAAGCCAAGGAAGACACAGGGAACAGCACGGGGGGATAGCTTGTCCGCAGACAAGTCGCGTACAAACGCCTGAGATCCCTAGACACGGAACGCAGACGCATCGCCAACCTTCCCAGTCCATCGCAAAGCAGGGGAGGTCTCCAGCATGGAGACCCGGGGCTGAAGGTTGATCAGGTGCGCCGGGTACCGAACCGCAAACGGCCACAGAAAATGGGGGGCAGCCGCATGGACCATGGACGTACGAGCCACGTCCATGACCACGCCAATGCGGCGCTCAGCAATCCCATTTTGCTGTGGAGAGGCCGGAAGCGTGAACGTCTGGCTGATGCCCTGTGCACGACAGAAGGCTCGTAGAAGGTCAGAAGAAAACTCACCGCCTCTGTCGGAGTGCAGACGCAGAACAGGAAAGTCCGAGCCGAAACTCTCTCTGAGCTGGAGACGAGCAGCGCGGATCCAGCCGATCAACACCTCAGTGACCTCACCCTTGCTGCGCAAGGGGAAGACTGTGGTGTAACGCGAGTAGTCGTCAACCACCAACAGGAAGTAACGCTCGTGACCCTGTCTACGAACACGAGGTGGGCCCCACACGTCCATGTGAAGCGTCTGCAGCGGAGCCTCTGTTGGAGGAAACTCGGAGGAGTGAGGAGCAGCACGCTGCCTCCCCTCGACGCAGGGAACGCAAGTAGGGGCAGGCCCCGGGGGAAGAGGAGGGAGGGACCGGGGGTAACCTGAGACAAGGACACGGGAGGCCATGCCTCGGAGACGAGGCAGCGAGGGGTGACCAAGGCAGTGGTGCCAGAGG